TGTTGCTGGTGAGATGTCCTGATTTGAGGCAGCCAAATGTGTGTCAAAGTGAAGTTGAACAGTTAGGAGTGTTTCGGCTGGGAGTTGTGGTGCCCTTGTACAGCAGTTTCAGCTACTTGTGAGGCTGAGACAGGAGGATCATGAATTTAAGGCCAGCTTGGACAATTTTGAGTCTCAAAATAGAAAGGGCTGGAGGTGTAACATGTATGAAGCCGTGGATTTAATCCTTAGCATTGCAGAATTGCAGAGCATTGCAAAAAGTATATCTCGGGGCTGGGGATTTAGCTCAGCAGCATTGCAAGCAGGCAGTCCTGAGTTCAATTCCCAGTACCGATAAAAAGGAAAAAGACCAAAAATAAAAAGTGTATCTCAGATTCAGATTTGATTTTTGGCTTGCTTGCATGCATGTGTGTGTGTGTGCATATGTGCGTGCATGCTTGCTTTCTTTCCTGCTTTCTGGACTATAGATAGGACTCTCACTGTGTTTTCCATGTGGGTCAAACTCCTACTTTGAAAGATTCTCATGGCTCAGCCTCTCTAGTAGCTGGGACTATAGGCACATGACAGTATATATGACTGGCTGAGTATTTAGATAACACAATTTGCAAGGGAGAAAGGCTGTGGGGTCAAGTTGGGGATGAGATTCTTTTTTTGTTGTTGTTTTTTTGTCTTTTTCCTTTTTTTATCGGTACCGAGGATCGAACTCACGACTGCCTGCTTGCAAGGCAGGTGCTTATGCTGCTGAGCTAAATCCCCAGCCCCAGGATGAGATTCTTCATGAGTTGGAACTGACTCTGAGGAAGATAGTCAAAGTTATTTCTTGAAATACTTCTCCATGTATATAAATATACAGCAGCTGGTTGTAAGCTAATTGATTGATTGTGTGGACTATAGTTAAACACAGTCAGCCTTTGTCCATCCTCTGTGTCCTCTGCCTCCCAGGATGCAACTAGGTGATTGTTCTCATCCTGGGGAAGAGCTAGGAGAGTCAGGGACTGTGAGTGCACATGTGTGTCTGAGAGTGAGCAAAATGCAGTCCTGGGACCGTACTATAAGGGGAAAGGAAAGCGCTTGCTGCTCTCCTTGTTGCCTCTGAACCAACTACAGGCTGTACTTTCTCTGCAAAGTGGCACTACTGCGATTGTTCTGTCCTTCTCCATTTTCTTTTTTCCCTTTGCACTGAAGGGTAGTCCTTTCTCCATATACCTTTCACACTGCTTTTGCAGCAAGCAGTCTGTCCTGGCCAGTGGTACTGACAACACTGTGGCACCTAGGGAATGGGGGGGGGGGGGGGTGTGCTGCAGCGGCAGCATTGTTTCTTTTCTTTGTTTAATAAGGTCATTCAGAATGTTTTTTTGTATTGCCCAGTTCCTGTCATAGGTTTCCAGTTGGGTGCTGTGTTCACTTTTTCTGCTGTGGGCTTGATGTTGGCCCATAGAGTACAGGCCCTGTACTCATAGGTGCATTTGCTAGAAATGTTCCCTAGCCTGTTGACTTGAAAACTCTGTTATTTTGTGGTTAGACTTTTTCTCATGTCCTGTCTGTTATTCAGTGTTTGGTGACTCCTTTTGCTTTCAGCCTGGAGGATGACCCCATCACATCGCTTGAGGAATTCCCCCTATCTTTATCTCATGCTTCTCTTGTCTGGTTTAAGATTTTTAAACTTTCTTTCTGGTGTGGTAAGAGAGGATGTATGGCACTGTGAGGCCTCCCCCTCCTTGCCTGTTTATCAGGCCTCACTGCCCAGGGTGCCAGAGGTGTGACTACTATCCTTTGTCTCCCATGTTTACTGTCCCCCACCCCAGTATAGTTAATAAATCTTCCTGTTACTCACCTGGGTTTCTTGATGTTGAAATGTCACAGGGCCTGCTTGTTAAGTGGACTGTGAAACATTACCCTCATGTCTCTGTGAGTTGTTTTTTCTATATTGTAGTAACTTCTTCTCAATAGATCTCCTCTTCAGAAATATCTAGCTGTTTTAAGTCTTGTGTGTGTTAGGTGGTTGATAAATGCTTTTTTGTGTGTGGTGTTTTTTTTTTTTTTTTTTTTTTTTTTTGAGACAAGGTCTCACTTTGCAGTTCAGGCTGGCCTTGAACTCACTTTGTAGCCAAGGTTTGCCTCAAACTCAACAATCCTTTGACCTCAACCTCCTGAATGATGGGATTATAGGCGTGTGCCACCACACCCAGCTAATAAATGCTTCTGAGAGTAGGCATATTACAGTTTCCCTCATAAAGGTCAAAGCTCTGTTCTCGGTCAGAATCTTAAGTTGTTTTTAAAGCCCACATGATCTATATTGTTTGTGACTTGAAGCCAGGCCCTTGGTGGAGCAGCCTCCCTGACAAGCACCACTGGTCCTAGTTGTTGGACTGGTCAGGTCACGCTAGGTCAGGCTGTGAGGCCAGTGGAGTTTGGTGAAAGAACTTGGTTCCATCGGTTTAGTTCCTCTTAAAAATGCTCTAAGCCATTTGTGGAGATATCCAGATATATTTTCATGGTTGTTCTAAGCCTCTTTCATTCTTTCATTTGCTCACTCACTTTCTTTCTTTCCTTTCCTTTCCTTTCCTTTCCTTTCCTTTCCTTTCCTTTCCTTTCCTTTCCTTTCTGTCTGTCTGTCTGTCTGTCTTGGTACCAAGAGTTGCACTCACAACTTCATGCCTGCTAGACAGGTGCTTTTGCCACTGAGCTAAATCCCCAGCCCTCTAAGCCCTTTTCAAATAAAACTATAGCATTTTTACAGTAGAATCTCAGATGAGGAATTTCAGTGTAATAAAGTACTTGCTTGGCATGCAGAAGGCCTTGGGTTTAATCTGTAGCACCAAAAAAAAAAAAAAAAAAGTCAGGTTTTGTGACCCATACTTGTAATCCCAGCACTCAGGAGGCTGAGGTAGCAGAATTAAAAATTGAGGGTTAGCTGGGGCAGTTTAGTATTTTAACAGGACTGTGTTTCAAAATAAAAAATTAAGGACAGGGAGAATGTTGATGAATGTAGTTTAGTGAGAAAACCCTGGGTTGAATCCCTAGTATCATTAATCAGCAATATAAACAGTAGTAGAGAATCTCTTTAACTAAATGAGATAGCCTGTAAACATTAGGATAGTCTCTTAAGCTTTTAGGAGGTAAAGTGATGTATATATACTGCTATTATGTATTAAATTAAAGCATATATTTGAAACTTTATCTTCCAATTCTTGTGTTTGAATAAAAATATTTCATTATGCCAAGTGTAGTGTTAAATGCCTGTAATCCCATCATCACTCAAGAGGCTCAGGCAGAATGATCATGAGTTTAAAGGAAGTCTGAGCTATTTACAGAGATCCAGTCTCACAAGCAACCAAACCAAACAAAAAAATGGACAGACAGACACACAGTGTTTTATTACTTGGGCAGAAATGTCAAAAAAATTTCTCTGTTCCTGGGTGCTGGGGTTTAACCCAAGGACTTAGGGCCTGGTAGATGCTAAGTGTGTGCTCTACCTCCTAGAGGAATTGTGTTCTTTCTTTTGCAGTACTGGGGGTTGAATCCAAGACCTCATAAATGGTAGCCAAATTTGCTACTTCTAAGCTACAGCGTCATCCATATATACATAGTCCACCTCAAAAAGGATATACACAGTTTAGGAAAAGGAAAACTTGCATAAATACTTTAATACTAAATTTATTGAGACCTTTGTTGTTTTGTTTTGAGACGGGGCTATATAGTTTAGATTGGCCTTTAACTCACTATGTAACCCAGGTTGGCCTTGAACTTAAGGTGATCCTTCTGCCTTACCCTCCTAAGTGCTGGGATTACAGATGTGTTCCACCGTGCCCAGTTACAAGTTACTCTGGCCTCTACGATTACAAGAGGTGCTCAAAGTGGTGGCCCTTAGCTTCTAGACACTTATTAATATGGCAGACTACTGATTTGGTGACAGTGGTCATTGAAATTGATTGCTGCACATGCATTTTATATTTCTTTTCTAAGGGCTGACAGGGTAGTGGGTTTTCTGCAATAGTATGACATACTCTTGGGTCTCCCATATGAGGGTAAAAGCATCTGTTGAAAAAAAGTCATAACTATTTTTCTTTTCCTGAAGCATATATAGTTTTTTTCTTTTGGCAGACTGTGTGTGTGTGTGTGTGTAGACAGTGTCTCACTATGCAGTTGAGGCTAGCCTTGAACCCAGAGCAGCCCTCTTGCCTCAGCCTCTGGAGTGCTGAGATTATAAGCATGCATCACCATACCTGGCATCTTTTTATATTTTAATTTTTTTAAACTTTTTATCGGTACCAGGGATCGAACTCACGACTGCCTGCTTGCAAGGCAGGTGCTTATGCCGCTAAGCTAAATCCCCAGCCCCTTATATTTTTGAGACAGGGTTTTGCTAAGTTGCCCAGGCAGATCCTGAACTTGCAGTCCTCCTGCTTAACCTTCTGAGGATCTGAAATTAGAGGTCTGTGCCAGAGTACCTAGCAGAAAAAATATTCCTGAGCCAAGTCCAACTTGAGTCTTTCAGGAATTTATAACTCTAAAGCACTCTGGATTCTGGGCACTGAACCAGGGGTCCTGGCATGGAAACTAAAGAAGACAATCTTATCCTGAAGTTTACTCCTAACAGTGTATGCCTTTCCAGGGAATTCATCACCTCTCAGCATAGTTTTGTTCTGTTTCATTTCTAGTTTGTGTGGGGATACTGTTCCTCATCACTGAACCCAGGGCTTCATGCACTCTACTTTTTTGAGATGACAGTGATATGTGTATTACCTGTTGGTATTGCAGCACCTCTCCCCAGCGCCTGTCCTGTGATATATAAGTGCCTCAGTCTGAGAGGTGACCACAGGGGATGCAGACTCCAGTTTAGATACAAGGAACATTCCCTATAATCAGAGTTATCTCCTGACCCTGAGGGGAACTTGATTCATGCTGAGTCCACAGAAGCCCTGGCAAATCTGTGTGGAAGGAAGAGTCTAGATAATGTCTATGACTGTCTTATTCTTCTTCTTCTTCTTTTTTAATAGGCACCAGTTTGTAGAAAATAATTTAATATTAAAAATGGGTCCAGTGGATAAGCGAAAGGTAAGTTGGATTCCTGCTGCTCTTCATCCTCATTCGTCTCTTTCTTCCTCATTCCTCTAACTTGGCCCAACTCCTTCCTTGGACTTCTGCTACAGTTGTTGAATGTAGCACCTTCATCCTGGCATACTGTTTAGAGAGTATTGCCATATTTTGTGGCCCAGGAAAGCAGTCAGAGCCCCACTGGGAGGCAGCAAAGGACAGGTAGAAAAGGCAGCCTTATGTTCTTGCTCTGGAACCTGGCTTACTTTTTCAAGGCTTCTGCCTTGTTGGGGAGGCCATATCTGATCCCCCAGTGTAGTCAAGTGTTTCATTAGAAGGACCAGGTGCCATGGCACACACCTGTAATCCCAGCTACTCAGGAGATTGAGGCAAGGGTGAATTAGATGTTCAACCCCAGGCTGTGGAACTTAGCAAAACAGCCTCAAAATAAAACAATATAAAGGTTTGGGAGTATAGCTCAGAGATAGACTCGTATACCTGGGTCAGATTCCATAGTATATAAAAATGAACAGAATAATTAAGGGTTGTGGTTTATACATTAAACAGATTGTGTTAGAAAATAATCAGAATGTGCTATCAGGCTCATACTGAGCATGGGCTTCTTACTTTCCTTCCTGGCTATGCAGCCTCCATGAATTAATGTGTCCATACCATATGGCCTGACTTGCTGACCCTATAGGCCTCTGTGCCTTGGAAGAACTGAGTACCTAGGAACAGTGGGGTGGCTGTCAGCAGTAAGGCCCTATCCTCATGTATTTTTGACCAAAGAAGTTGGACCTAGGCAGGAGCAGGTGTCACAGGTGAGTAGATAGGGAACTGGCAGTGTCCTTGTGCACTGAGGGGCTTTGCAGACCAGTCCCCTCTAAGGCAGTGGTTACCATTGCAGTCTTGTGATAGCAAGAGTCTTTTTTTTTTTTTTTTTAAATATCAGGGTTTGTTTGCACGAAGACGACAACTGTTGCTCACAGAAGGGCCACATTTATATTATGTTGATCCTGTCAACAAGGTCCTAAAAGGTGAAATTCCGTGGTCACAAGAACTCCGACCAGAAGCCAAGAATTTTAAAACTTTCTTTGTCCACACGGTGAGTCTGTCTCTATGGACTCTTGTTGGCAGTGTTACTGGAGAACGTGGTGCCTCTGCTGGAAGTATGTCTTGCTTTGTCCAAGGGGCAGCTGAGACCAGGGCAGTTTTTCCTGTCCAGAGGCTCTATATTAATGGCACAGTTCTGAGTTGGGCTGGGAGATACCCTGTGCTTGTTTTTTAGTTTGGGCTGGGTCCCTTGTCTACTACTTAGTTCTTGCACGCGTGACATGAAGGAAGACCACTGTGCCTACAGACTTCTGGGGCTGGTAGTGCTAGCAGCAGGATCAGTGGGCATGGTTCAAGTGTTTGGGACTCCAAGAGAACTATAGGTACTCTGTTTTTACAGCCTAACAGGACGTATTACCTGATGGATCCAAGTGGGAATGCTCACAAGTGGTGCAGAAAGATCCAGGAGGTTTGGAGGCAGCGATACCAGAGCCACCCAGATGCTGCTGTGCAGTGACACAGCCTGCGGCCGGGCTGCTCTTTGCTGCCAGGACACCTGCCCCAGTGCGGCTCGGCCGCCACCCAGGACGCTTCCAGACCACCTGCCAGCCATCTCAAGGAGAACACAGACGGCGGAAACCTTGCAGCTTTTTTATTTAAAAGAAAAGAAGAAAAAAAAAATCCAATCACACAAAGAACAAAACCAATAACAAACAGAAATCCAGGGTCACTTTGCTTGTTCTCTGTGCTCTGTGGAAGCTCCCATATGCTCTTGTGGTCAGGGAGACCCAGCCCCATGCACGGCAGCCCCGCTATCAACCAGACCAATGGCCAAACTTGGTATCATCAGCTCCTCCAAACGTCTGTTGGAGCTATGCGCCTGCCTCCACCCCTCCTTACCTGCCATGCACTGCCAAGGGACCTGTTGTGTCATCCCCCATCATCATCCGTCCCTCTCCCCGCACCAGGAGCCTCTTCACACCTCTGCTGGTTTGGACACCAGCTCTCTGGGCATAGGCTTCTTAGCTTTGTGCTGTCTTTCTTCCCTGTGTCACTCCTGTATGCCCCTCATGTGCCTCCTGGGTTGGCTATAGTGATAGAATATCTATGGTCTTTGCTGTCTGGCAGGCAAACTGCTGAGGTAAGGAGCGGGCAGTCTGCAGAAGTGGCATGTGGAACAGGCTGCCACACAGGGCTCAACTCCCAGGTCCCACTTCCTCACAGTGTATCCTGGTGGGACTGGATGCCAAGCCAAACTGACAGGAGAGACACATTAGCCTAGTTAACACCTAGCTGGGTCTTTTCCTAAGAAGACAAAATGTTCCCATGTATGAGGATGAGACCAGGAACCAGCCAGAGCAGCCTGGACCGATGGCCTCCATGTGGAGGAGTGAGGCCTCAGGTCTTCCTGAGAGTCTGAAAAGGTTTAAGTGTGTTGCTGCCTGCCAAGTGAGATGTATGCTGAGACAGAATCATTGTGTCTGCTTCCCTGGGGTGCTTCAGTTTCCTGTCTAGCCTCACATGCCTCTTGTTTCTGTCGTGCCTAAACCCTTCTCAAAGTTAGCTCAGTTTCTGTTTGTGTGTTGAACTAAACACCACCTCACATTGCCTGGTCACCTGGTCCCATAGGATGCACTTATGATTGCCTGGGACTCAACAACCCATTAAATCTGAGCCTGCCCAGTCTGGTGCGTCTTCTGCCAGTTTTAGGGCCACTTCCCTTTGATGCTTTAGTGGCATTGCGCTGCTCTATAATACAGCTTAGGACATGTCAGTCCCTTGTTTTGCTTTATTATTCTCAGGAAGAGTGCTCCAGAGTGGCTCAGTTATACCTCTTCCTGCCTAGGTTGTTCCTGGAATGGCCATTAGTCCCTGCCTTTGCAGTCTACCAACATACATGCCTCTTACTCCCATGTCCCCAGGGCTAGAACAACTTTGTCATTTCTGCAGATTTTCACAAAGGCACCAGCAAAAGGCCATCTCCTGTCTCCAGGGACTATTTATCACCCAGTTTCCCAAACTGTTTTAATGATAAAGATGACTTTTTTTTAAGCTGGGAAGAGATACAGATGTGGGTCTGCTGTTGTGCTGGGGCACAGACACTGGGTGAAAGAAGAGACTCCTCCTTAGGCTTTGCCAGCGATTTCTGTGTTTTATGCAAGCAAGCGTGTGTTAGGGCCCTCTTGTCCTTGGGGTACCCCAGGGAGCAGGACCCAAGCCTGACTCATGACAGTACAGCCAGGGTCCTTCTGTCATAGGTTTTGGAGAGATTTGCCCGTGTTAGGTGAGCCTTACCTGGCTATTTCTTTCTTGGAAAGGCTCGCTTCCCTTGTTGCTGTCTTTTCCCTCAAAATGTCCAATATCTATGTGTACAGGGGAAGTTTCCTGACTCCTCTTCACACACAAATGCAGGGAAAGCAGTGCCCCAGAGCACAAGGGACTGAGACTTGCTTGATAAGAGCACCAGGCTGGCCACAGGAAAGTAAGGTGAGTGTCCTGTTGCCTCTTCGCTCTGGAGAGTGCCACTACCTCTGAGGCTTCACCAACAAGCACTATCCTAACCTCCAGAGCCACAGATGAAGGCTCAGAGCTGAAGGCTGAGATGATAGCTGTCCCTGGCTGTGCTGTTAGCTGAGCCCTTTTGAATCAACTTTTTCTTCACTCACAGACCCCCTTTTCTTTGCCCCCCCCCCTTTGGTACCGGGAATCAAACTCAGGACCCCACGCTTGCCAGGCAGGCACTGTACCACTGAGCTGTACCCCCAGACTTTCCTTGCTTTTATGTTTAAGGCCCGTGTAGGTTCTTTTCTTGCCCAGACTTATGTCAAGTTTAGTTTCTCCCAACCTTAGAGCCATCACCTGGGATGTAGGTGCCTTAGGTTCTGGGACAGCGATGTGAATGACAGTCTACATGTATAGACATATATAGACGGAAATCTATCCAAAATGGGGACCTGTCCAAGGTGAGAAAGTGGTGTCCTTTTAATAGTTCTGGGAGTCATGCGTCTTACTAAGAAAGGGCAACGATAAACATAAATGCCATGACATACCCAGTGTGGTGTCTCTGGCATAGAGGGGCAAATGATGTGGTCATCAACAGCTCAGAGAGCTCATTGGGCCCTGCCTAGGAGGGGACACTGAGAAAGTTGAGTTTGGTTGGGTTGTTCCTATCCTTTTCCTATGACCCCACCAAGGGCAGTGGGCAACGCTGTATGGGCCTCTGAGCCTCGTCACCCCAGAGAATGGCTACTCTTTCTGAATCAGTTAAAAGTTTGATTTGGGAACGATGGCTCGGAGTCAGGCCAAAGTTGGCAGGAATTTCACTTGGGTAGCTCTCTTGGGTCACCCTGTGTTAGTTGTGGTCCATACCTGAAGGGATTGGCAGACAGCTCAATGGCATAGACCCTCAGGGTGCCAGTTAAGTGGTTTCCAGTGATTTTGCACCTTCTTAAAGGTAACATTGGTTTTCTGAAAAAGTCAACTGTAGGCTTACCACCTAGAGAGCACAGTGGGCATTTTGATCCAGATCCCCACACCCCCTCCATCCCAGCATTTGTTTGCTTTTGTAACTAAACTGGGAACATTTACATCATTTTGCATCAGGCTTTTTAATTTTGCTAGTTCATCCTAAGTATTTTCCCATGTCATGAACAGTTCTTCAAACGCATGTTTTTAATGATTGTAGACTAATGCTTGTAAATTTTATCCTAATTTATCTGACCATTTCCTGTTGTAAAACATTTATTAGATGGTTTCTGGTTTTTCACTATATAAATATTGCTGTGGTGAATATCCTTATTCCCCCTAAAATACTTGCAAGTGGTATTTTTGGGTCAAAGACTTTGTTCATTTCAGATATTATTCCCTTTTGGTCTGATGCTTAGATGCTGCAAATTCAAGTAATAGAATCCACTTCTTGGTGTCTTACAGATACTGAACAAATCAGTTTTTACTAAGCTGTGTGTTGCAAAGAATGTTTGAATATGATTGGTCTTTTCTTTAAAAGGCCACAATGGTGTCATTACTGCAGCTCTATTTCTGACAGATTTTTACAGGAGCCAGTTTCCTTACTTTCACTGCAAGAATCATGAGTGCATGTTCTCTTCCATCCCTGCTGCTATGGCTCCCTAGTGCTTGGTGATGTTTTCAGAATCTTGTACTTTGTGTCACAATGGTACTAAATGCTTCTGCACAGTCAGCAGAGATAAATGTTGAACTGACCTTGCCACATGCTTAGGGGTGATTTGTAATTAAGTTTATACATTTAGAAAGTACATTGGACCATTTGGGATTCGTAGCAGAGCAAAGGCTCTCCTTGAAAAAGAAACCATGGAGATGATTGGGTTTTACAAAAGTATGTTTATGTTTATCCCTTCCCACTTTCAGGGTCTTTATGGTTCTGAACAGCAAAATGACCATGCCTCTTGCTTCATCCTTCCTACCCACAATACTTTAACTCCAGACCACTGAAATTTGGTTGGGGACCATTAATTATGAGCAAAAATATGCATGAAGGATTTTGTGGGTATCATGCTGACTGCCACTTGAGTCTACCAAAGCTTATGATTGAATTGTACAGAATTGGGCTGCTTATCCTCTGGTGTCTCTCCTCTGGGCCCTTGGCTGGTCCACAGACCCAGGGTGATCATTGCTAAATCTTCAGTGGTTGCACCTCTCATGAGAGTATGGTAAAGGCACTACGTTCTAGAAGATGACACTTTACATCTTTTTCCATTTTGTTTCATTGAAAATCTAACATGAACTGATAGTGACTCAGGTATGCCTGGCTTATTCTTAGGCAGAACATACGGCATGTGCCCTTGAAAACAGCTGGAGCCATTTTCAGAGCCTCTGAGGGCTGCTGGCTACTGGCCCAAGATTGTATGGTTGTAAATTAATCTGCCTGTGAAGAATTGGTCTGGGTAGGAAGTTTCCAGGAAATAACCCTTATCATCATTGCTGAGGTGGTCATGGTGGGCAAATGAATGAACCATGAAAATACCTGAATTTTCCCTGTAAGTCGTTTTTTCAATATGAAGAAACACCACACTGTACAGAGAACTTTTTACAAACAGCAAATCTTTTACTCATGTAGCCCACACTAATCTGTCTGGCTGAATGACTTCAGGTAAGTTCTTGTGTAGTGAAAGCCTATATTTTGACCATAGTTTGGATGTTGACAAATTAAATATTACAGTATTTAGAACTGCTGCAGCTGTTCCATAACCACATAAAAATAGGACAAATCAGTAGTGTGTTGCTTTTCTTCAGGATGGTGGCAGTCAGAACAAGTGTAACATTCTCTACCTGGTCTGTAGCTGTACAGCAAAGCAAAAGTTAAAAAAAATAAACTTATGAAAACAAATAATGCAATGATACTAGGATATACACTTTTGTATTTTTATTCTTATATAAGGTTATTTGCTGGCTATTGTTGGCCTCTAGTTCAGTCTGTGTTATTTAAATTCTAATATATGAATTATTTGGATTGAATTCATGTTCGGGGCCACGCTGTTGTATGTATTGATGTACAGCCTTGAATGTGAATAATTATTGTAAACTATATTTTACAACTTTTTTTCTGGCTTTATTATATAAATTTTCTATTTGGTCATGGTTTAATCATAATTTAATGAATCTGTTTGTTCTCTTTTTTCAAGTATCTGTGCTTTAGATGTAGTTACCGAATGATGAATTTCACTCGTATGCTCGGTAATCTTGTAATAAAAGCATGTAGCGTGTTACCTGTTTGTGGGCCTGGCTCCTCTTTGAGTGGGGGCGAAATCGAGTATCCCTCTGGCCGGAAGGGGGCACAGCCGGCCGCCTTTCCGGACCGGAACTTCCGAATCCCCGCGTGACGCCGGGGCGGGCACTTTACTAGGGCGGACTTGTGGGCGGGACAGTGCGGAGGACACTATTAAAGACCGGACCCTTCCACTGGAGTGCTGTGGCGGGGCTTGCCGGCATCATGGCGGATAATCATTACGAGCTGCTACCGCCAGCCCCAGGCGGTCTCGGGGCGGGGCTGGGGAGCGGCCTATGCCGCCGTTGCAGCGCGGGGCTCGGCGCCCTAACCCAGCGCCCCGGTGGTGTGTCCAAGTGGGTCCGGCTCAACGTTGGCGGCACCTACTTCCTCACCACCCGGCAGACTCTATGCCGGGACCCGAAGTCCTTCCTGTACCGCTTGTGCCAGGCCGACCCTGATCTCGACTCAGACAAGGTGAGGGCCGTGCGGGCCAGCCGGGGGTGGTGGGGAGCCCAGGTCGTCCTGACCACAGCTGGTTGCGGGCTCCAAACACCGCACTCCATGGCCTGCGTCCTGGGCCCTGGGAGAGAGGTTGGCGCCTTAGCGCCCACTTAGCTCGGGAAGACCCTGTGGCTTCGCCAGGGGTGCCCGTCTCCCAAGTCTTCCCCGCTGGGTTCAGAGGAGGAGGAGGAGGTTCCCTACGCCCGGGACGTTAGTACTCTTTTTTTTTTTTTTTTTCTCCTCGGGTTATTACGCCTAGGGTGTGTGAACATTTCTTACACGATCCAGGATCCAGCGTACTTGCTTGCTCTGAAAACGGAGAACTCGTTCATCTCTTTCCACATTCCAGACATGTGAATTAATGTAGACATAGGGGTTGGCACAGTGGCCTTCTTTTGCCAGTGACTTGCATTTAGAGAGTTCACACTTCATCCTTTTCATCTACAACATGCACCGTCTCCGCAGCTCTTAAAAAGTGAAGCCTAATAAGATGTTTTTCAAAAACAATATTTCTCAAATTGGAATGGTTTAGGGGTTGGGTCGGCAGGTAGAACTTTTTTCAATCTGCTTTGTACCTACCTTACTTTTCCCTCTTCCCCTGCAAAACTGTAGGAATTTCCAAGTTAGTTTGCTGCTTGTATTTTATCAAATTAAATAGTCATACTGTTGCGCAGGTGGCGACAAATTATTGTGATTTTTACCTTTACAAGAGGTGTGTGGCTAAGGAAAGGTGCCTCAAGACCGTACAGGGTTGAAACTCAGAAAAAGATCTATTTGAGAAAGAGTTTTTACCTTTTTTTTTCCCCTAGTAGGCAGATCACAAACCTACTAACTTTGGCAGGTCTTTCAGCTGTGCTATGCAGTTGCACTTGAATTTGTGCCTTTCCAGTCTGATACTTATTGTTTAGAAAACTCTCCAGAAAAAGCAGAAATGCTTTGCACTTGCAGAAGACTGACAAAGTTCTTGGTGTGTGGCTTGACCTTATGATCAGGAAATGAGAACTCTGTGAACTGCCACAATAATCATTCATCTTGGACAGAAATCAGGGTTTGAGTTGCCAGTGCAGGTCCATCTCCCCACCCTGCCCTACCTCCAGCTGTTCCCATTGCTCATTTGACTCAAGTCTCTTATTAGAGAATTGACCTCCCAGAAAATGACAGTCATCTCTAGGATAGAAATAGATTTTTGTCAGCTGTGATTTTCCTTTTATAGTGTGGGTGTATGTTTTACTGTTGACTTTTCTTTTTAAACAGTGGATCTCAGTGATCATTCACTTGCTCTTTTTACTCAGATGACCCTGTTTTGTATATTAAATCAGAATTTTAACTGTTCCTGTCAAAGTCTTTCAAAGTAAGAGCCGTTGATACTCAACATTAGAACAATGGAGTAGGGTCCATTGCATAGTTAAATTGACTTCATCCCTTTATTTTATTGTCTCTTAAGATTACCTTAAAAAAAAAGACTTGAAAAATTATGCCTTCCTGTAATAGAGACCCTTGTGTATAGAGGAAATCAATCAGAAAAAAAAAGTGTGTGTGTGTATATAAATGCCTTTTATTTAAATTACCCTTTATTTAATTCCATTTGATTTCCAATTTGTAAAGTCAAAATTCAGAACATGAAAGTAATGCAGTTCTACAGTCTCTTGTCTCCCAAGTTGATAGTAAAGGGTTAGTTTTTGTCACAGATAAATTACTAAAAAGAGTAATGCTAATTCCTGTCAGTCATGTTACTAGAGGGTTCTACTTCAAGTGAGAAAATGTATAAAATTCTGTCTTCTCACCACCCCTAACTTCTGATGAAAGAATGGTCCCAGGAGATTCCTCTCCAATAATTAAATGCTGAATGAGGAATCTGAGGAGGAGGGTGGAGGGGAAGGGTGGGGGGTTATTAATTACATGAATGATGGGAGATAAACAGGATGTTGATTCACATGTAAAGATCTTTAAACCCTGACTTCATAGTTGAGATTAATAAAAAGATACCTGGCAGATATTCCTAAAATTTAACTTTAACAGTGACCTGCTGCAGAATTCCTTGCCTGACACTTGCTTGGTGTTTATTGAGCTCAAGGACTTTCAGATACTGGAATGGGAGTTTGGTGGGAAGAATTAAAGAGAAAAGATAGGAAGAAATGTTACAGGAATCTGAGTTTCAGGCAAAGGAGAGCGCTAACTGCAGACTTTGTGACTGTCCCAACCCCCCAAGCAGGTCAACCAGTTATAGCAGGGATTTCTAGAGTATTGCCTAAAGATGTTGACAGACAGGTTGTTGGAGTGGGGGTAGGAACAGATACAAGCATATCCAGGGACTGCTTGACTGATTTAAAACTGGCTCCCCACCCCCAGCATATCCTCAGAACCCAGCTTGGGACCCACTATGCCCTGTGTCCTCTGGACCCTTGCCCTCTTGTCTTAAGGGCCAACTTGGGATCTACTACTACCTTGAAATTCTCTTTGTAGATAGCCTTAGTGAATTTTCACTTCCTCCTGGGACGTCCTCCAGTGGGACTCTCTCTGTGTTGTGCATTTCAGCATCTGCTCATCTGTTGTCCTGTGTCATTTTTCTCTCTCATATATTCCTTAGGGTCAAGCCAGGCATAATATTCCTTCCTGAGCTGCCTCTTGGAAGTGCTTTATAAAACCTTTATATTTGATTTGTGTTGGTTATGACTTTGTATTCTATTCTACTGTATTTCAGAGGCACAACTGAAAATAGTTTGTTATTTGTAGCAGAACCCAGCCCCAGTGTTAGAGTAGAGATGCTTTAGGAGGTGAAGAGAAACAGCAAGCACTATGCAACTGGAAGCCTGTATGATTGAAGAAGGGTCCATCTGTAATTGAGCCAGGCCTGGAAAAAACTACTGGTTACCCATTTACTTCTGCCCTTGGAACCAGGGCTACTAGCCTTGCTTCTCCATCATGGGTATGGTGGCAGTGGGTGGGTCTTTGGAGGCAATCACAGCAATTCCTGTAACCAAATGTAGTCCTTTTCTGTACCTACTCTGAATGTATTTGGTGCTGGTGAATTTTAAGGTTGAAAAGATAGACATTTTACAGACAGAGCTAGGGGATGGCATGTGGGTGGGAGTATCACCTTTGAATCAGCTGCTTGGCAAGAGAAGTGAGGATTACTGACTGGTAGAATCTTGGCATCCATGCACTGGACAGAATTGTGTCAATAGTGAGGCCGTGTTTCATTTCGTAAAATAAGGATGTGTTTGGACTGCAGGTCCTGGGACTATGGTTTCCCTGGTTCCTCTGCTATGAGTGCTTGTCCTTGCTGATTATGTGGTCATCTCTTCACAAGGCATCTCATTTTAAGGTCCAGTGGCTTTTAAAACCTGGCAGCTAGGCGATCCATGCAGCCAAGATGCCAGCATGTATACACCCCTACCCATGTGCACATTGACTCTTACTAGGCCTTAGCTCTCGTAACACTGCAGAGTACTCACAAAATTCCAGATGGGGTTGCTGTGATCGACATTTTCCCTGGTAGAAAAATAGACTTTGGAGTTGTGAAAGCCTAGTTTGACTTTGCTGTGTTAATGTACCTCTGTGAGTCTTAACATTCTTCCTGTGTGAAATGATGCCTATACCATGCATGGAGAAGCTGAGAGAATTCAGAAAGGAGAGTTGGCTGCTGGCCTTACTCTGGGAAAGTGCATTGAAGAGAGACTACTTTTAGTTTAAAGATATACACCAAGGACGTGATCCTACCCCAGTTCTTTTTTTTTTTTTTTTTTTTTTTTTTGGTACAGGGGACCAAACTCAGGACCTTGCACTTGCCAACCCTAGTTCATTCTTGCCGATGACTTTTTTTGTTTGTTTTTGTGATACTAGGAATTGAACTGAGGGCATTTACAGTGACCTACAATCCCAGCCCTTTTTAAGTTACATATTTCAGAATAGGATCTTACTAAGTTGCTGAGTTTTGCAGGGTAGACTCAAACTTGGAATCCTCCTGCCTCATTCTTCCAGAGTGCTGGGATTATAGGAATGCTGTACCACCCTCAGCATTGTTTTTTTTTTTTTTTTTTTTTTTTTTTTGTGGGGGTTGGGGGGTTTCCCTAGATCAAACTCATGACCTTGCGCTTGCCAGGCAGGTACTTACTACACTGAGCTAAATTCAGGGCCCAACGCTCAGCATTTTTGATATTGTTTATCTCTTATAAACATGTATCACTGTAAAGCTCTCAGTGTAAGGCTGGGCAGCTCCCTTTGAGTTGGACTGGTGCCTACTCCATGTATAGGTGAGTGAGGCCTACCTTGCCTTTCTCCCTTGTTTCTTCTGCTGTTGCAGAGCTCCTGGGTGATCTCAGGAGGACAAGCAGGCCCCTGGCGGTCCCCAGCACTGGCTATTAGAGTCATGTGCCATGGGAAAGGGTCAGTGTTGCCTGGGCAGCCACCAAGTCTTCTTATAGACACTTGATATCTTTGAGCCTGGGAAATACAGCTCCAGGGCTTCAGTATAAGTATGTTGGGGATGGCCTTGTGGCATCCCCAAAGGCATCCCAACTGTGGGATGTGTCCCCAACATCTCCCTATCCATATTCTTGCAGGTTTTTGCTTCCTGGATGGTTGGACTTCCATGCTCTTAGGGCCCATTTTGCAAGTCAGGCTTGGGTAGCTACCTTGTCACTCTTTGTCTGTAGGACAAGGTAGGTTTTTCCAAATAGATAAAGAAAGCAGGTGCCAGAGGGCACTAAGCCATCTTCAGTGAGGTGGAGGAAGAACCAAAGTCCTGCCCTTTGGTCCCAGCAAAAAGAGAGAACTCTGCACTCAGTCCTCATGCATGGTTGTTTATGGGGAGAGCAGAGGCTGTACCGAAGCTGCCAGGTAGTGGCATGGTGATAGCTGGGTTGGAAGGGAGGGGAGGGCACCTCACAGGCTAGGTGTCGACTTGTCTAGGTTGTCTCAGTTGCAGTGTCCTTGGATGCTAACCTCTCTACAAGTTTGGTCAGGGTTGAAAC